ATATTAAGGTACCCATTTCATGCATTAAAAAAAAAGAGAATAATAAAAAATTCATAAAGCTTTAAACAAAAAAGGAAAAGAAAGACTTAAGCAAGGTTTCGAGTTCGAGCCTTGTGAATGGAGCAGCCATCATTGGGAGAGCTTGCCCCCCGAATGGGGTCCGACCCGGCTTGAGGGATTAGTCCTCGCCTATGTGCGGGGGATACCTTGGATTCATAAAAAAAAAAAAAAGGAAAAGAAAGAAAGGTTAAAACTTTAGGAGTTTTTAGTGCAAATGTCATAAACTAACCTAGAAGATTTAAGGAAGATGAGTAGGAGAAAGATCAAGAAATTTTATGGTTAATTTGTAGACTAAAAGAATCTAATATATTATTTTATTTTAAGATAAATATCCTAAAACTTATCTAATATATTATAATATTTTATATCATATATACCAATAGAAGAGGAAAAAATGGAGTGAAGGCTTGGGACCACACTGGTCCCATGCTAGCTCCCCCTTGATTCCCAGTCAGAAAATAATTGCAATAAGACGAGGGGATGTGAACCATGTCGTATAATAATTCAAGAAAGAGATGAGGGTATAGAGGAAATGCAGAGAATCCTAGTGCTTGTGGGAAGATGGAGTACATGCCTAATTGCCAAGAGAAGCCTTGCAATAATTTGTGCTGGCAAAAATATGGCAAGACTGCTGGAGCAGCTCGTGGCTATTGCGGTGGTAATAAGCATGTCCCTTTTCCCCTGTATTAATCTGCTACTCATCAAGAAGAAAAAACCAACTAAATTGGTTTTCGAATGCTAGAACTTTATTAATAAAATAATCTATATATATAAAGCAAAAGGCATAGAATGGTGAAACATTCAAAATACCAGAAAATGCACTTGATTAATGCAAACATTAAGAATTGAAATTATTAATTAAATGAGGATAATATGGTAAATTCACACATTTTCATATTTAAAAAAAATTAAAATTAAAAGAAAAATCGGATATTGGATCCTATTTTTATGGAAAACAACTACCCATTATCTTTTTTAATTCTAAACTAAAATTTAAATTTTTTTTAAAAAAAACTCTCTCAAGTGCGTGCGAAAAGGCTAGTAAAGAATAATGTACAATCTTATTTCTATCAAATAAATAATAATTTGTAATCTTATAGACTTTTCTATTATGTTGTTTCTTTTCTTTTGAGTTATTTTAAAAACCCATATTTTTAAATCACCTTTTGCACTTATGGACCGCATTATATATATGTATGCACATTCACTTGTTAAATCAATTGTCATACCCAATTGTTAATAAACAAAAGGAAAATACTTGGCTCCTTGGATGTAAAGAGTCATTTCTCCTTATAGACAAATCAAAATCTTACACGTGTGCGAAAACTTACTTTCGAAATTTTAATAAGTTACTTTTAAATGTGTCAGACTGTGATCCACGTGTAATGGGGAGCCAAGCAATGTCCTAAACGAAACTACCACATAATTATAATGTGTCAAGAATGTGATTGACGGAACAAAAGAGAACTATGGAAGAGCCTGAGCAACTTAAACATCTGATTCCTCAATTGTGAAGTATATGAAACCTCAAATAAAAACTCAAATAAAGGGAACTCTATATCTTCTACATTCACAACAATATGATTTTTCAAATGCACTTCTGGAACAATGTCATTCGCCAAGCTTAGACAGGATGCGGGCTGCAAGACCCTCCTAGACCTGTATGATTGATGACAGGTACGATTGTAGACTCATAAATTTTTTAACAGACTACATTTCCCCAAAGTTAACTTATGTACAATATGGGAGGGGTTATTCTTTGTAACGTCGACTGCGTCCTCTATTGAAACGTCGTCGTCGTGGCCTTCCATAGCTTTCGATCTCTAGTGACCAGTGCATGCGAGGGGTTATTCTTTGTTTTCTAAGTCACGTGTATTTCACGTGCTCCTTAATAAAAATGGCTAAACAAGTCATCAAGTCATTCAATCTCAGCCCGTCATTTTTAAAATGAAATATGAGCCCTTGGATGAGCTCACTATAAAAGGTCTTCGTTTCACAGCCCTAAAGCCAAATTAGGTCTTCTCCCCTCCCCGTTTCTTCGTCCCTTCTCACGGCGCCAAAATTTTCTCTCCCCAATGTCCTCACCCGAACCCCAAACTTCTCCCGCCCCAATGGCCAAAACACCCGAACCCATCTGGCGATTTTCCTCCCTGTCGAAACTTGTTGTAAGCGAAAAAATCAAAATGCTTTTCGGTAATGCAAAGAATTCGAAGGCGATGGTAGTAAGTCATGTAGTCACAGCCTTGGGAGCTGGAGCAGTTATTCTCGACTGGGTCAACCGGTCGAGAATATCTCAGCAGCAGAAGGAAATCAATGCTAGTGTGTCTGCGTTACGCGGGGTTACACTATGCTTGACACATGTAAGTTTTTCCCCCTTTAATATTATATTCTTTATTTGTTTTATAAGTTACATTCAATTTCTTAATTTTCTTAAGCAGATTTCTGCCCAGCTGAAGGAATCAACGGAGGAATTGGAGCGAAAAATGGATGTCGTTCAACCTCGGTCCCGGCCTCCATGGCCTGTCAGCTAGCTTTGGTAAAATTTATTTTAAATAGACTGCTGAATCTTTTACATTCTTAGTTTATGGATTTTGCCATTAATTTTTTGGTATAAGCAGGGGATGACTAGGGTTGCTCATGGACGGACGGATCACCACCAAACTTTCCTCAAAGGCTATTTTAGCCATTTTTTTTCTCTTTTAGGGGTGTATTCAAATTGAGATTTTAATAGATCTCAATTACATGAGAAATGTTAGTTTAGAAAAAGCACCAAATATTTTTAAATCACCTTTTGCACTTATGAACCGCATTATATACGTGTATGCAGATTCACTTGTTAAATCAATGGTCATACCAATTGTTAATAAACAAAAGGAAAAAACACCCGCGGCCAAAACCCATTTGTCAATGGTCATACCTAATTGTTAATTCCCATTGATTCACTTGTTAAATCAATGGTCCTCACCCCAACACCAAACTTCTCCCGCCCCAATGGCCAAAACACCCGAACCCATCTGGCGATTTTCCTCCCTGTCGAAACTTGTTGTAAGCGAAAAAATCAAAATGCTTTTCGGTAATGCAAAGAATTCGAAGGCGATGGTAGTAAGTCATGTAGTCACAGCCTTGGGAGCTGGAGCAGTTATTCTCGACTGGGTCAACCGGTCGAGAATATCTCAGCAGCAGAAGGAAATCAATGCTAGTGTGTCTGCGTTACGCGGGGTTACACTAAACTTGACACATGTAAGTTTTTCCCCCTTTAATATTATATTCGTTATTTGTTTTATAAGTTACATTCAATTTCTTATTTTTCTTAAGCAGATCTCTGCCCAACTGAAGGAATCAGCGGAGAAATTGGAGCGAAAAATGGATCTCGTTCATCCTCGGTCCCGGCCTCCATGGCATGTCAGCTAGCTTTGGTAAAATTTATTTTAAATAGACTGCTGAAACTTTTACTTTCTTAGTTTATGGATGCGAGGGGTTATTCTTTGTTTTCTAAGTCACGTGTATTTCACGTGCTCCTTAATAAAAATGGCTAAACAAGTCATCGAGTCATTCAATCTCAGCCCTTCATTTTTAAATGAAATATGAGCCCTTGGATACAGCCCTTGGATGAGCTCACTATAAAATGTCGTCGTTTCACAGCCCTAAAGCCAAATTAGGTCTTCTCCCCTCCCCGTTTCTTCGTCCCTTCTCACGGCGCCAAAATTTTCTCTCCCCAATGTCCTCACCCGAACCCCAAACTTCTCCCGCCCCAATGGCCAAAACACCCGAACCCATCTGGGGATTTTCCTCCCTGTGGAAACTTGTTGTAAGCAAAAAAATCAAAATCCTTTTTGGTAATGCAATGAATTCGAAGGGGATGATAGTAAGTCATGTAGTCACAGCCTTGGGAGCTGGAGCAGTAATTCTCGACTGGGTCAACCGGTCGAGAATATCTCAGCAGCAGAAGGAAATCATTGCTAGTGTGTCTGCGTTACGCGGGGTTACACTAAGCTTGACACATGTAAGTTTTTCCCCCTTTAATATTATATTCTTTATTTGTTTTATAAGTTACATTCAATTTCTTATTTTTCTTAAGCAGATCTCTGCCCAGCTGAAGAAATCAACGGAGGAATTGAAGCGAAAAATGGATCTCGTTCAACCTCGGTCCCGGCCTCCATGGCATGTCAGCTAGCTTTGGTAAAATTTATTTTAAATAGACTGCTGAATCTTTTACTTTCTTAGTTTATGGATTTTGCCATTAATTTTTTGGTATAAACAGGGGATGACTAGGGTTGCTCATGGACGGACGGATCACCACCAAACTTTCCTCAAATGCTATTTTAGCCATTTTTTTTCTCTTTTAGGGGTGTATTCAAATTGAGATTTTAATAGATCTCAATTACATGAGAAATGTTAGTTTAGAAAAAGCACCAAATATTTTTAAATCACCTTTTGCACTTATGGACCGCATTATATACGTGTATGCAGATTCACTTGTTAAATCAATGGTCATACCCAATTGTTAATAAACAAAAGGAAAAAACTTGGCTCCTTAAGCACCAAATATTTTTAAATCACCTTTTGCACTTATGGACCGCATTATATACGTGTATGCAGATTCACTTGTTAAATCAATGATCATACCCAATTGTTAATAAACAAAAGGAAAAAATTTGGCTCCTTGGATGTAAAGAGTCATTTCTCCTTATAGACAAATCAAAATCTTACACGCGTGCGAAAACTTACTTTTGAAATTTTAATAAGTTACTTTTGAATGTGTCAGACTGTGATCGACGTGTAATGGGGGAGCCAAGCAATGTCCTAAACAAAACTACCACATAATTATAATGTGTCAAGAATGTGATTGACGGAACAAAAGAGAACTATGGAAGAGCCTGAGCAACTTGAACATCTGATTCCTCAATTGTGAAGTATATGAAACCTCAAATAAAAACTCAAATAAAGGGAACTCCATATCTTCTACGTTCACATCAATATGATTTTTCAAATGCACTTCTGGAACAATGTCATCTCGCCAAGCTTAGACAGGATGCTGGCTGCAAGACCCTCCTAGACCCGTATGATTGATGACAGGTACGATTGTAGACTCATAATTTTTTTAACAGACTACATTTCCCCAAAGTTAACTTATGTACAATATGCCGTCTCTAATATCTACATAGAGCCTCGTATGGCGGTCTCAACTTTAAAACAAGAGAGCCGCTTGTGCCGGGTGATGATTTGATGAGTCATGTAAAACTATTTAAATTAGATTTGTCTCAGTAGATGATGATTCTCATGAGTTTGCTGCAAAATGGTTGAATATGGTTTCCAAAGTGGACTGGCTAATACTGTATTCTGCAATTCCAAGTTTATATCTGAAAAGGAGAGAGATTATAAACACTGGTCAGGTTTGGCAAGAAGGAACGCAAACGAACAAAGAAGGTACGACGAATTCACCTGTTCCGTTCGAGGTGTCCAAAGACATCTGCAAGTGAGAGGCCCTGTCCGTATGGCAACTGCAACAAAAGCCAAAAGTAGAGATAAATTACAAAATTTTCTGTGCTCCAGTAATACAATGAAAGACATGATAAGACATGGTGCTCATACTCCATGTACGTGCATTTGGAGCCACAGGTAAACCCATTTTCCATATCTTCCCTACTGACCATTCTTAAGTAGAGAGGCTTATTGAGGCTTATTGCCCACCATGAAAATAAGAAACCCCTGTAATCTACAACAATTAAAAGAGATGTACCTTTTTGCCCCCCACTAACCAAAGATCAACAATTCGGGAAAAAGAAAACATTTCTAAGTGTAATTTGGGAATGCACCAAAGTGTAATTTGAAAACATTTCTGAGATGGTAACAGTGAAGGGGAAAAAAGAAAGTAAAAGACAGGTCTGGTAATAGTATCTGAAAATAACAAAAACAGTAAATATTTAACTGTGAACAAGATTTTGGAAAACTATTTCAACTGCTGATGCTACTATACACCCAGTATAAGATGCAATAACAGGAATCTCCCATTATGCCACAAGTATTGTAAAAACAATGCAAAGTAAGGATGCTAACTCTAAAATCATAAAGGTTTTACAACAACATAACTAAAGCCAAGAGTTTCCCCATTTCCATCTCACAACGCGTCCATCTCTCAACCATTCAACCATTCCATCAGCAAGTTCAGGAAAAAAAAATTCATTCCATCAATAAACAGACTACTTGGGCATCTGAGCGAATTCAAATACACATCAACTCACCTACCATCAAAGCTATTTTTTATTTCAAAATGAATGGCACGTGCACACATGTGCGCAACACACACACACACACACACACACACACACACACACACACACTATTCTTGTTCCTATGTGGCCTACTAATTGGTTGGTTACAGACTCAGTTGAATTGAATCTGGATCTCCTACTTCATTATCATTATAAATATATTGGCTTACGACTGCTCCCAAAAGCTTACATTTTAGCAGGTGGGCCAACCTTCATTCTATAGTTTAGTGCATAGCACTTGGATAACATAATCCAAACAGATTAAAAAATATATAAATAAATCTTCCACAAGAATTACTATTTGTAACTTTAATTCAAGATAAACTTTACCTGATATTTAGCACTCAGGCCATTGAAGCCTTGGAATATTGCACCGGGAAATGATGAGAAGACAAATGAATCAATTGCTGAAAACTTTTCATTGGACAACCACCACTCAGAAAATATTGGCAAAGGTATTCCGCCTGCACAAACTCCAATATTAAGTACAAAAAATGTAGCAAGGTAAAGAAGAAACAATAATTAAATAAATGAGTTACCAATAATGACATTCCAAATAGAATTTAGAGCATCAAATATGTATAAAAATTGTTTGAAGTCCACAATCGATCCCTTTCAAAAGTTCTAATTTTTCTATAAGAGCAAGAATCATAACCAAAAGCACTGACAAAGAGTCTAAATAAGACCCTAAACCCAAAAATAAGAATATCCCATAGTATTAGCAAGTCCTAGTGAAGACATTGAAAAATAACGCAACGTATATCTGGATCTTGTAGACATTGGGTACACTGAACCTTGCTGCATATTGATTAAAGCACTGCCATAGTAACACAAACTTCATTAAAACCTATATGAAAACTAATGAAACAAAGAATGATTGCCAACTAAAGCATTAACAAGAATTTTTGCCTGGAGTAGATAGTTTCTCTGTCACTTAAATTAAAGTTCTAGAAAAAAGATTAGGAAAAGCAAGCATTTACGCAGAGAGATGCATGGGAATAACTTAGAAAATTCAGGACCTTGATTCAACTTATATATAACAAAGCGATAAAAGATCATAAAGTCTAGTACTGTGGAGACATGATAATTGTTGAGAGTGTAAATCCCACATCAAGAATGTGAAGCCTTGCACTATGTGCATACATTCTTGGGCCTCTCCAACCATAGTTATTTTGATTTGGATGCTCTAATTACATGATAGTATCAGAGCCAAGTTTTCTGCGTGTAAAAGAGAGAGAGAGAGAGAGAGAGAGAGAGAGAGAGAGAGAGAGAGAGAGAGAGAGAGAGAGAGAGAGAGAGAGAGAGAGAGAGAGAGAGAGAGAGAGAGAGAGAGAGAGAGAGAGAGAGAGAGAGAGAGAGAGAGAGAGAGAGAGAGAGAGAGAGAGAGAGAGAGAGAGAGAGAGAGAGAGAGAGAGAGAGAGAGAGAGAGAGAGAGAGAGAGAGAGAGAGAGAGAGAGAGAGAGAGAGAGAGAGAGAGAGAGAGAGAGAGAGAGAGAGAGAGAGAGAGAGAGAGAGAGAGAGAGAGAGAGAGAGAGAGAGAGAGAGAGAGAGAGAGAGAGAGAGAGAGAGAGAGAGAGAGAGAGAGAGAGAGAGAGAGAGAGAGAGAGAGAGAGAGAGAGAGAGAGAGAGAGAGAGAGAGAGAGAGAGAGAGAGAGAGAGAGAGAGAGAGAGAGAGAGAGAGAGAGAGAGAGAGAGAGAGAGAGAGAGAGTCTCCAGTTCAGAAGCGGACACAATTATTTTCCACAATCCTGTTACACTCAAAACCTGAGAGTAAAATATAAATCCTAAGCCAGAACAGTTCCTACATCCTAAAGTAATCACCTGTCAGGAAAATAGGGCAAAAAATTTGTATAGTCATACGATGTGGTACGCATACAGACATTTAAAGTTACCCATCCAAATTTTCCAAACAAGAAAGAAAATCCCAAAAATTAAAAATTAAATATAAAAGAATACAAATTAATCAATGCATGGATCACTCATACCATCTCGAACCAACTGCTCAGCTAACTGTTCACCAATCACGCCATCAGAAAGTGGCACTGAAGATATAAGCGACTTTATTCTTTCTTCATTGCCAAGCCATCGTCCAATAATGATTATCATTTCCCGTGACAAGCTAATCTCTGCCACTGATGCATTTTCAGCCACAATGGAGTCAGTGGCCCCAATGCAAACTTCGAAGCCATCAAGTAAGCTCCTAGGATGAGAAGGAACATATGAAAGCCTTTCTTGAATAACTCGGCAAAGATTTTCCAAGTCCCCAGAGCTGACTTCAAAAGGTTTAACCTAAGAGTAGGTAACAGAGTTAAAAGTAATTAAAAATTCCCTAAAATATCATCCTACAAATTAATTCTTTCAGACCACCCCACTCTAAAAAGCAAGGGAAGCAAGGAAAAATGAAAGAAATACCTCTAGCTCAAGATGATTTCCAAATCGTGTTTTCAAATGCTGGGGACTACCAATGCATCTTAATCGGCCTCCAACCTTAAAATAAAACATCAAAGTGGTTATACAGTGATATGAACAGTGGCACTAAGTAGTGCTTCAAGTAGACTGGTGAGCAAGGTAAATTGGTACCATTATTCCCATACGGGTGCAAAGAGCTTGAGCTTCATTCATACTATGAGTAGTAAGTATTACTGCTGTCTTTCCTCGTCTGGTTGAGAGACGAGATATCACTTCCCACATGAATCTTTTGGCAATTGGATCCATACCTAATACAAATAGTGAGCAAGATGTGTGACTATCTCCAAGTAAAACACAAATTAAATATACTATTTTATGGTGTAGCAACATTTTCAGTATAAACAAACAAGGAGCAGTCTTGTATATCTTGAGTACATATAAAGGTTGAACAAAAGAACACTTTGACTGCAACTTCTAGATCTAGTCTAACAAGGTAAAAGGTTCTTTTTGCCAACTTATAGACTGTGACCATTGTCCGGTCAGAACCATATTCAAATAAGCACAACGGCATTTATAAGAACTTTTTAAATGTGTCTACTCCAGCAGTGAATGTTATCACCTTGATCCTAATTTAGTATGTGGGCCTTTAGTGTTGTATCTCACCATCCATGCCTAGTAGGAGTTTTCTCCACATTTCCTCAAATATAAAGCTTAACTAATGCCTTAGGTATCTTAAGAGTCATTTTCCGACACTTGCGCAGCACAACCCAAATCAACTTTCATGTAGACGCTTTTCAACCTATTCCTCTGTCAGCAATGGAGCTACCCTGAGACCCCTCATCAACCTCCAATGTAAACAACCATTTTTGATCTATCTTGAAATCCCTAACTAGTTGTTTGCAGCAACTTCTCTCACCCCCTCCTTATATGGCTTATTAATTGCTTCCTGGTGCTTTATTGTTTAATAAAGTTGGTTAAGTAGAGATCTATATCCTTATTCTGTAACCATCTGATGGACAGCCTTACTAAGATCACATTAACCATACCGCAAATTTTGCTCATCACCATTTTAGTTAATTTCAGCAGTTCCTTAAAATCTTATGCCACAAATATAAAAGCAGTTTCATCATATAAAAAGGACACAAAAACAAGAAATCTTAAGATAGAAATTGTTCAAGAATTTAGAATGAGAACCAGCAAGTATACCAGTTGATGGCTCATCTAGAATGACTATAGGAGGATCTCCGATCATCGCAATTGCAACAGATAATTTACGCTTGTTTCCCCCACTGAGGGAAAATGATGGTTTGTTGGCATGCTTTAACAAGTCAAACTCCACTAACTTTTCCATTACAACCTGTCAGGGATTGAGGCTCCACCATTTGAGTGTTTATCAAAATATACATTAGATGTAGAGTGCCAAAGTTATTCAAGGTATTTAAACATGCAAAATGTTTGATTCAGAATTTAGCATGATATGGCTTAAATGGACAATTTAAGTCATTACATCTATGCAAATGGATGAAAATTCTGACTTAAATCAGGATGCTAAGAAGAAAATTAAGTTCTACGAGCTTTGAACAGATATACATACATCATCTATCTGGTAATCTGGTACTCCCTTTATTGTGGCATAAAGCTCAAGATGCTCTTGAACAGTTAAAAATTCTAACAAAGCATCGAACTGTGGGCAAAACCCAATCTGAAATTCAATGATACATTGAAAAAGTTAGCTAGGATCTATCACTATATTGGATGGATAATCAACATTCCACAAAGGAAGAAATAAAAATAAGGATTGTATGTGCAAATATATATAAAATATGTAGACAAATATTATATGGTAATGCCGATGCCTGAAAGCCCTCTTGATCCTGTTGACTCCATTGTATCATCAACATGATTAATGGCCTGGATCGATCTTCTGCCACATCATCATTGACAAGGCACACACACAAACACACACTTACACACATACATATATAAAGAAAATCAAGACATACATGTCGACGAGCAGCCTTGGGATTAGAGCATATATCCTTGCCAAATATACAAGCAGTCCCATCAGTTGGAGATTCCTCTCCTGGATGGAAATTGTTCAATCAAAAAGAAGGAACTGATATAATAATTCAATTTTGAGAATATGCTGATTAACAATGCAAAAGCACACAAGGCCACAAATTCAATACTACGCAATGCAAGTTTTTTACTAGTATTTGTCTGAAATCAAACATTGTCGAGTTCTCATGGAGACCATCATTTTTAATGTAACAAAATAAATTATTAAATTCTCCTTAGCAAAAACTAAAATGCCAAGAAATAGTGAACTCAATGACGTATTTTATTATCATGAAATGCAATTGGTTTTTAAGAGATGGTTCCCTCAGATACCAAACACTAGTTATGGAAGGCATAAGTACGAACTCAAAAAGAAAAAAAGAAAAAAAGAAAAAGACAGATTGTCCATTTTAAATGTTTCAAAAATACAGTAAGTATATCTGATATTCTGGTGTCCAGCTGTTCATACCAGTCAGCATTGACAGAGTTGTGGTCTTTCCAGCTCCATTTGTTCCTAAGAAACCAAAACATTCTCCTTCTTGAACTGAAAAAGTCAATGAATTTACTGCTATTTTTGGACCATGAAGCTTTCCTCCAGGATACACCTGAAAGTTGACATATATTGCTATTATACAATCATATGTCGTAAATTATCACATTATCAAACTAAGAGAACCACTAATATCATTTGAACCATATATAGAAATACCTTCCAAAGATTCTGCAAGTAGATTATGGCATTGTCAATGGAACCTGAAAGTACCCTAGTTCTTTCCGTCTTCACATCTATGTCTTCATCAAGGTCATGAGTGATAACTTCTGAGGAAGATTTCAGAAGGGGTTCTAGATAACTCGAACTGCCTTGACGGGTACTTTTAGTACTCTTCCACCATTCCTTCAGCGTGGCTAGTGTCAATTTGTTATAAGGCAAATGTTCAAGCCCAAGTGTCAAAAGGAAGTAGCAAATGCTCTGCACAGAGGAGAAATTTGAATAAGATCAGAGTAACCCTATTTTCCACATGAATTAAAGTTTCACTTTCAATCTTAATATTAAAATATGTAACAAATAGCAATCCAAGACACAAGATGCTACACCTCTTGCTTTAAATTTTCCATTGATTACAGAGCAGGTGCAAAACATGTAAAAGGTACTCGCCAACCCCGACCCCATCACCATTACATTGATGTATATTGATGCTTGTATAGAGTAGGATTACTTGCTTTCCTTTTCTTGTGTAATTTGTATAGCTATAGATACCTCTTATGGGAGAAGAAAAAAGATACTCTGAAGTATATTTCAATTATTGAAGGTTCTTCACCTTATCTCTAACAGCTTAAGATTTTTGTGTCTAGTGGTATCTAACATGGTATTTAAAGTTGCGAGGGTCAATTGGACCCAAAAGCACACAATATCTAGCAGATTTGGGGTATTATGTCGTTTGACTGTGTAGCTACAACTAGGGTATAGTGTCATCTTGATAAGTTGTGAGGTTGGGGTATAATACGTCCCATCATGTATAGTTCTCAGGAGAGCCTAAAATTTAGAATTCAATTTCTAGTGGAGGCTGCATTTACAGGAATTTAGCTTAGGATCTCCTACTCTCATGCAGCTGGTATTGGGAGGTTCCAAATCAAGGACGTCTCGAACCCAGAAGTCTGATTCTAGGCTAGACTACCATTATATCCCAATAGCTTAAGCAACAATTACTTAATATACAAACACATATATCTCCGATTATCCTGCACACCATGCAGCATTTGAAACTTATAGTTCATTCTTTATGATCATATTTTCCCTCTCTTACATTCTTTGTTAGGTCAAATAAACAAAGCATGTAAGCTTACATTTTGACGAATGAAAGAGACAGGTGACTCCACAAATTCAATTGTATGGTCTCACCTTTCTGACATCTAAATACTATTCAACATAGAAGAGCACTTAAGCAAAACACTCTGAGAAGGGGTATTACTCGTTAGCATTACATATATTCATTGGTAATTCCACTTCTCAAGAAAAAGATTTAACTTTTTAAGCAGAGAGTTGCAGAAGAGTTTTTTCCCACAAGGCCAGAGGTAAGACACAAACCTCAATACCAAGATAGCAAATTGAGCCACCAGTAACATTCCAATCAAAGGCCTCATTGCTAGATTTATTTTTCATATCTTGCCGTAGAAGAGCCAGTGAAGCGAGTCCATCAGCAAAGCAAAACCCCGGAGATAATCTGAAAAAGTTCTGGAAGCATAGATCCATATGTCAGGGAATATAAGATTCCTATTATCACCAGCACTAGTTTTCTAGATTGAGTCACAACATTTAGTAAGAGGCAAACTAGAACTTCTAGAGTAGCCCTTTATCAAAAGATAAACAGCTTTACACTCGTTGCTCTCAACATTGTCGGATAGTTCAGACCAAAACAATGCTTGAAAACTATAAATTCAAAATAAAGGAACCAAAAAAAAAAACTGTATAAGATTTAAGAAGCAATAGTGAAGGGTAAAGTAAAGAATTGCAATTAGTCCTATTTTTCTAAATGAATCAACATCCTCAAAGTAAATTCAAGAAACTACACTAGAATTCATTCAGAATAAAGACCGCATCTAGTTATTAATTGCAATTTCCAGTCACGGCCTTCACTAAACCAGAGGAAACTCTAAGTATACACTAATACTCTCCTGCTATCATTGTAGAATTTAATTTCACAGCACTAGCTATCTACATCAGATATATATATCCTATGTGGACGTCCAGATGTTATTATCGTGCAGACACCATGCATTTTCTACTACCCCACCCTGTTTTCCTCTCTGTTTACAATGGCATCCAAACGATAATAACATGCGGACATCCGGATGAGAGAATAACTGTGTGTGTGTATATATATATATACACACACGCATATATGTTTAATAAGGAAAACCAAACTACTATTGAGAAGAAAGAAAGAAAAACTACAAGGACTAGTAAATTTACTGTACAAAGTAGTAATACTAGCAGTAAAAACAAAAAGAAGATTTTAAAACAAAAAATAAAAGAGATGTGTATTTAGGAATACAACCTTGAGAAAAGAATTTGCACTTGATGTTGTCTTTATAAGCCCCATAATGAATGAGATAACCATAAGAATCAGTCCCGTGAAAAAGTGGACCAAGAGAACCACATTCTGGATAATAATAAGTACAACTTTAATAAACAAGAGAACGACAATCATAAACATAGGCATGCAAGCTTAATGCCCTGGACGTGAGAATAAGAGAATGACAATGAAAAATACACCACCTGAGCCATACTGTGGTCAGAAAAGAAAAATGTAAGGCAATATGTTGTTGATGCAATCGCTAATCCATACGCTAAAAACATGATTACTGTCGACAATAAACATCCGCTCCCAATAAACTGCTCCAGACCTACATACATTTTTTTTTATGAGTTTACGTACAGAGGCAATTAATATACAAGGGAACTTAGAAAGAAGAAGAATCATTAGCCATGACCATAATGTGGGATGAAGCATTGATTCCAGGTTAAGTTCAAAATATTTTTGAGTTGGTTAGAAAGTCATCACCAAATAATTCCACATTTACAAAATACTTTTTTTTCCACCTCCTATCCTTCCTCCATTTCAAAAAGAGTTGGTCAACTCCATGGCATTCAATATATTAGATCAATTTCTAACAACTGGAGAACACAATAAAGTCAAATTTCACATCTTGCATGTCTATTGTGATTTTTACAAACAAATATTTGTCAATATGTGGATTAAAATATCAAAATACAAGAAAAACTATTTAGTGAGTAAAATTCTGGATAGATGTGGAAACCATCTGCAAAGCCTGAATTTGGAGTGTCTGTGTGCACCCACACATCTACACAAAAGGCTCCTAAATATAGAAAGAATCATTTACAAAAGCATTGCACAACTTTTGAAGTCAGTTATGCATAGGCTAAAGAATACCGGAGAATATAAGAGATCATGTACAATATCTCATATTAATATCAATCTCTATGGTACAATATGCAGTCAATCAAATATTCCCCTATACCAGCAGACACCAACAAAGAAAATCTCATTAAACATATTGATTGCTACTGTTTGCTGATTTGACCAAAAAAGAATGACGACATTCCCATCAATTATTTTACAAAAATTTCAACAATGAAATGAAGTTGAAAGCTCAAATTTCTATAAGAAAAAACGAGTGAAGGATACAAGTTTAAAGACATACCAAAGATGTAAAAAAGAATTATTGCAAAAGATGAAGGAAATAGGAAGCTGATGAAGTCCCATATGTAAGTAGAAGCCCAGTATGAAAGTATAGAAACCTGAGGATTAAGATATTGCAATGCAGTTAATCTTATGAGTATCAGTAACAAAATTACAACAGGATGGTTGTTCTACCAGCAAACAAACATACCCCACTAATCAGTTGCTGGTGTTTAGCTTTTACTTCACGTTCCTGCATCAGTCAACCGAAAAAAAAAAAACAATTATTTTCTAGGGTAAAGGAGATACTTAGAGCATCATACAATATCTTCTAGGTAGGTATTTTGACTGATGCACAGTTAATTTTTGTCATCACTATGGGGATCTGTTTCAGGTAAATTGGAAAGCAGTTATTTTCGACAAGTAAATTAGGTGTTGTTCTGGGAATGGGTTGTGGTGTTGACGTAATATAGCCTTTAGGTCATTGTGGTGCATGTTATCCCAATTGCTTAATTATTTATGTGACACAATAAAATGTTTCTTCTCTTTTTTTCTCAATAAAATGCTTCTTCCTTTTCAATAAAATTTTATTTCTTGTGACTAGAACATTACCTGCCAATTGTAGAATAGTACAGTAAATATTAAGACAGCTTCACTTATTTTGTAAATTGTAACTACAAGTAACCGTATCCTAGCGCAGAATGGTACAGTACATTGTGAAGCAAAAGCACTCATACTGGACAGCTGCGATTATGTTTGGCACAGTACCTTCACAATAGAAACGGCAAATGACGCAGGAATGAAGGAGAAGGCAATGCTAACAATAACTGCAGCAGAGAATGCATCCAAATCCTACAAAATGAACATAATAACTAGAAGTGAAAATTCCCGAATCCTCTAATTTGTAATAGAACCCTATCAAATGAATCAGAGAGGTTAAAAGAACAACCATAAGATATTTGTACAATATTTAACATAAGCACATAACTTCAACTTAAAATTATAACATTTACTTGATACAGAACCATTTCTAAAATAGCCAGCTTCTTGATGCAGGCAACCTAACAATCAAACAAATCAAACACTTTCCAGACAGCTCATGGCATACAATTTAATAAAACTTAAGAAATTTATTACTAACTCCTTCAGTGATAAAATAGAACATACCAGAGAAAAAAACAGAACAAAACAAAACGTTTTAGCCGCAAACAATATAAAGCCTATTCATACTCTACTGCCTGTGGAATCACTTGAAAATGCTATCTTTAAAGAGATTCTGTCCTGGACATTTGATTGTATCAATAAACTCAAAGAACTTTGAAGGAAGTTGACCTTCCACCCCAAAACCAATTGCCAATGAGGGGAGTAGCCCAACTCCTTATAAGCCCTTGCTAGGTTTCGCAACTTTCCAATGTGGGACTTTTTACCTTCACATTCTCACATGCCCCCACACGTGTGGCAAATTTTCAAGCCTAACATGTGGACAATACATATTGGGTGACGTGGAGCACGTGTGGCCATTGGGCTTTCACACGTGTGCTAAACCACTCTGATACTATGTCAAATTTCAAGGAGACGGGCCGGCGGCCCACTACTAGCAACACTGATATTGTCCCCAACTTAACCACCTACAAAGCCCAATAGGTGACGGGTTTTATCAAAAATGGCATCGGGTTGTCGAAACAAGAAATAGGCAATATCTTCATACGTCAAGGTAATGGAGATAAGTCAATAATCATATCTTTTTCACTCCCCCTCCCCCCCTTGAAGAGGAGGGGAGGAGAGCACTTAAATTGCAAGGAGAACGCAAGCATTTGTCACAAGAAAACCTACGTCGCAAGCACATTGTGTCTATCTCCTCTATCTCCCCCTCAAATCCGAGGCTCGTAGAGGATTGAGATTTGAAAGAAGATGAAAAATTAAGGATGAGCAGTGAGCGATGACGAGGCTCGCGTAGGAAAGAAGATCAAGTCATCATGACGTGCTGCCCAAGGATAGGATCCGTAACAGAAACATAGTAACAAAGAAGGGGAAGAACTGTGGTCTTCAACAACAAAAGCCTTTTTATTTTTTTATAATCAAGGATAGAAGGAGAGGAGTAGCAAGAGGGCTATACAATATAAACACTCATATGGGTGAGGGATGAAAAGCGCCAACGACTCTCAATTTGGTGGATGATTTCAAAGATTAGCAACTGGGGTAGTGAAACATAGGGTCATGAAGAAAAATAGGGTTTGTACAAAAGTAGCAAAGAGACACCCTAAAACCTGGCTCTGATACCATTAAGGAAGTTGAGCTTTCACCCCAAAACCAATTGGCAATGGGGGGAGTAGCCCAACTCCTTATAAGCCCTTGCTAGGTGTCTCAACTTTCCAATGTGGGAATTTTAACCTCACATTCTCACAAACTTTTCTTCATGTAGTTGTAAGAAAAAGGTCACTACGTAAGATTTTCTCAAAGTTTAGTGCACTGACATGCATGCAAAAAGGGCACCATTGTAGAAAAGAGAACTCATTTTCTATTTGTCATAAGATCCTAAATGACTTGACAGTACTTCTGGTATCACTGCTAATAAATGGATCCCATCAGACGAGAGACTGCAGGAAATGCTTCAACACTTTTAACTTCATTAGAAAATAAGCCTCATCTGATCCAGAATGTTATAAAATGATAGGCATAGATACTTTCAGATATCTCCTTGTGAGGTTAAAAATAATTCATAGGTAGAAAAAAAGTTATTATTACATGGAAATCGAAGATGATAAGCCAACACAACAGAGTTTAATTCTAAAATGAGACTGACTTTTATGATGCTTAAAGAGTGAACTTGAAATGAAATCTTAAAAAGGATTGAATGGAAATGGCATACATGGTGTTGCAGATGTTGGCTTTTTGTCATTGGCAGAGGGTGATTACGTGTTTGAATTGTCATATTCTTATTATGAGCAGCAAGCCTAAGAATTGCAGCATTCATTAAATTGATAAATGTTGGGGCAGCATGCTGACAGGAACTGTTGTGTAGCACAGTGTACCCTAAACTTCCATCATCATTCTGATCATCCATCACAATTGCCCCATACCTGCATCACGCACACATTACAGTGAAAAAAAGAGCACTAAAGAAAAATGTGCAGGCTAATTATAGTCAACTAAAACTTCAGGTACTGGTTTTGCAGAAAGAAAGAAATCATCACTTGTTCTATTAATTTCACAATTTTTGTCCACGGCTTTATAAATGACCAAGTTATCTCTCATTACCTGGGAAAAATATTCTACCTGGCTTGGATTGCTAACAAAATGGATGGTTCAGTGAAACATACACAGTCCCACTATCACAGGTAAAAAAAAGTTTTTTTAAAAATTTATTTAAAGAGAAACACAATATTATTACGAAAAAAGCCAAGTACAAAATGAATCAAAAGGAAACCGTGGCCAAGAAGGCCACCACAAGCACAGACAAAAGAAAACGTGACACCATCAAAAAGAGACTATAAACTAACTGCCTTCCAGTCCAGCACAGGTAAACAAAGTTTCAGTACAAATAATATGCTTCTTTCAGCTGCAAACTGTCTGTGTACAGCTACAGTACTTTAGCTTAACCCTCTCATTTACATTAGACCCACAAGTTTGCAAACAAATTATCATATGTGCATGTGTAAATTTCTACAATTCCAAGGGTTTCTCATGTGGAAACTTCATTTTCAGGAGTTATGTTGGGGTTTCTAGCATATCAATTTCTATGAATTTCATTTCCTTGAGGTACCCTATTCATATGGACGAAAGAAATTCGCAAAGAACGAGAAAATTTGGTTTAACACACCTTGACTGGTAAGATTCATTAAAGCTAGACATTAAAAATTCGCTCATTGAAAGTAAAACAGGTCCCAGGGTTGGCCCTGCTGCCTCAATTGCATCATCCAATGCCTTCTCTGCATTAGGGAATTTATATGCACCAGGTTTGAAGTTTTGTATCCAACCCCCTTCAACATACTGTGCAACCTGCAGCACCGGTAGCTTTTAAGAGCAAGAAACCGTTGATGTTGCAAGCAATCAGAATAAATTTCACATCCAGGGGATAACCCAGATTCTAAATGCTAAAAAATGACCACGCATATCCAGTATAAGATTAAGGAAAATCGAAGTGGACAAACCTCCTTTGCAATAGGCCAGGATAAATCAAAAGGGATTGGACCACCACCACCACCACGTAATAGTGGATTAAAATGCGAAGTTGTAAATGTAACAGACAGTTGATCAGGATGTGGCTTGAGCTTGAGAAATAGAAGACCAAAAAATAAGAAAACTGCAGGAATAACAAGCTGGAAAACAATTGTTTTCTGGTCTCTGCGAGCAGATATTGCCCTCTTTATGAACAATGCTTTAGAATGTCGCCAAAATGTTGACCTTGAAATGATACCACAGCAACAACATTGCACACTGATGAAGTTTAAGAAACTTAAAACTGTAGCAAAAATCAAACCACAAGCTCTTCCCACTATTGTAAATAAGACCCCGAGAATCTCCTTATAATATCCAAAAGATTTTTTTGAGTGAAAGATCTTTTTGGGCACAGGATCATTAGTCTGACAAATTACAGAATCAGGAATCCCTAGATCAGTCTTCTTGTCAAAACAAGCAGCTTCAACATAGTCACACCCCGCAACCCTCAGGAATACCTCCTCCAAAGTTGTAACAGAAATACCATAACTTTCAATGCCCAAATAGTCCTCACCAGAACTTGTTTCTAAGTTGGACATGGGTCTTTTCATGCAACTCTCAATTTCCCTAAACATACTTTCAAAGGACGACGAGGATGCCAAAGGAAGCTTAAACGAAATCTCAGTTCCAACCTGTACAAGCATACAAAACCACATATATATATAACATAAAGTGTCATACACTAGCAATGTCAAGTGGACTATTATGAAGTAAACAGTTATATCAGCCGCCCCTCCCTCACATTTCCCATCCAAGGGCAGCGGAAAAATTATACCATATACATGGAAGATGCAAGAATCAATATTTTTCCCTAAAATCAAAGTAGTAAAACTAAGTTCAAAAGAAAATAGTAAAACTACAAAAACATATTATTGTAAATAATCAATGATTTAATATCATGCCAAATATATTGTATAGGAAAGGTTTTTGTTTAACTAGCAAGAATTCTAGAGAAATGTGATGGATACCTCGCTCACACATGTTGCTGATGGGATATGGCGGAAAACAATGTCAGCAGCAACAGAGGCAGTGGGTGCAGACTGACATGAGAAAAACAGTAAGTCATAGCATTTTGGTGTTGCACAATGATAATAGACCATTCAATATTCAGAAAAAGATGAACACAAATAGGGGTATTACCTTCACTAAAGTTAGAGTATAACCAACCCCGTACTTATGCTTCAAGAAAAGGGAACTGTTCAAAAGTGAGAATTCTATATGAGAAAATTATATAACATGTTGACAGCATTATGCATTAATTTTTCAGAACATGGTTTGAAGTAAAGGTACATTCTAAAAAATTAAAAATAGGGGATTCTATATGTGCATACCTATAATTATATATGTATAGAAACTATACCCTAAAGTCATCCCGTCGCCAAAATTGGTTCATAAAGTTGAAAGGCCATTCGAACGGTCCTCTTGAGCATTCGAATGGCATCTCATTCAGACTTTAGAATATCTAAACGTCTGGTACAGATAACTTTTCTACATACTTTGTGTGTGTGTGTGTGTGTGTGTGGAAAGTCTAATAAGATCCCTCTTTTTTTATGAGAAACAAAACTTATTAATAATAATTGCAACATACAATACAAAGATCTTTATTTATATGAACAGAATACATAAGGATGATATTAGATCTAATTATATTTTATGTACATATATCATATAAGTATCTACTACAGAATACATAAGGCAATGTCCCAAACATGAAAAATGTATGAAATCATTTTCACCCCATACTACAAAAAATTTGTCAGTTATTCCGCATTTCCTAACTAATTGAGAATATATAACTTTATGAAATCTCATATGAATATGAACTAAGTCAAAATATAACACTAAAAGTAGGTAAAAAAAAACAATAAGCTTGGTTAGAAGAGGTGAAACCTTCCGCAGCATTTCAAAGAGCCATTGGCCATGATAGCTATACGATCTCCAAGTACTTCTGCTTCATCCATTGAGTGTGTGGTCAGTAATACTATCCTGCCCTTTCTAATCTTTTTTATTAATTGCCATGTCAAGCGCATAGAGTACGGATCCATTCCACTAGTCGGTTCATCCAAAATTATAACCTGCAAAAGGAAACAATTAAAAAATTTCAGTACATTCCAACACGGGAAAGTAACAAGATAGCGCCACTGAAATTTGGCCCCCACCTTACTATTTCCTATCAGTGCAATTCCAAGAGACAATTTCCTCTTCATGCCTCCAGACAGAGCATTCACAGCCGTGTTCATTTTATCAGCCAAACCTACCTGATCATAATGACAAAACAGAAAACAAACTTCCTCATTTGATCATGAACCAAAGAATACATAAACAAAACAAGAAAATAATAAATATTGTCCCAGGCCTAATGTTCTACAGTAATCAAATAAGGTAGCAGGTAGCACACTAATTTATAAAATCACATATTCTGAAAATCATAGGACCAGAAACATTAGTTTCGTTGTGGCAAAGAAAGAACATGCCAATACATTGCTAGAGCATATTGCAAACACTTTTATAGTGATGGCCTGATGCTTAAGATTCTAGCATCAGACTCTAAAAGCATAAAGATAGCAGATCATAATATATGTCATACTTAACTGCCAATCAAAAGCTCAAACTAGCAAACAAAAGCATGCAAGAACCCAGTTCTGCCAAAAGAACTTACTTGATCACCCATATCAACAACAGCGCTGTTTACAAAATCTTCCTTCACACCTTTCAATATAGCAAATATTTCCAAATGCTCCCTCACCTGGATAAAGTATCTAACCACATCAAACTTAGAAATTACTGTCGTACCAGTCTTCAGCAATGTGCATGTCTGTGTGTATGCGAACGTATCAACAAAATTTCATTTGGCGGTCAGACAACTATGATTTTCAGAGTGCTGCATGGTTCTAGTTTACAAAAGATAATGGTTGTCACCTCTCCATATTTTTTATTTATATTAGGGCTTGATTTTGGTGTTATATTTGTTGTGCAAGAAGATAATTGAAGCTTTTTTGGCTCTCTTCACTATTGCAGCCGACAAGTAGAATGCTCAAGTCTATAACTAACTGTATATTTTTAGTTGCTGCTTTCATTATAAAATCAAAATGACAAAGCTTGGGAGATGGAGTTAGGGGCAGATTTTCTTAAGCATCTCTAACTTTATGAGCTCCACCACCTACTTCATGTACAATAAATGAAAATGCTACAAAATCTATTTCAATAACCTTTTGTTAGTATTCAAAAGACAAAGCAATAATCTTGCTAGTAGCTTCAGAGGATTTACTACATTCAAAATCGACAAGGAATAATTCTTCTCACTTACCGTTAATTCTGGAAAAAGGATATCATTTTGAGGGCATACCCCTAATTCCTTCCGTATCTCCTCCTATAGATTCAAACTCATCAGAAAAGATCCAAGAAAAACTGAACTGTTCCCGAAATATTAAACAAATGTAAGCAGAAAGTAAATTAATGAGGAAGATTTAAAAGAATGCCTTTTGGCATATGATTTAGATCATTAACTTTGAAAGTTATAGCATAGCTCAGAAACTAGACAAATTATAAGAAGAGTATATATATATATATATATATATATATATATATATATACAGAAAGGTTCTCCAAAGTAGACCGAACAGTCCCTATCTATACCCTCAACTCAAGGATCCTTGCAAAAAGCTTAGCCAAAATGGAAACTATTTAATCAATTGACTGAGATCAAATAAATAAATGAACATAACATTTCCAATCAGTGATGAAATGCTGATGATGATAATCAAATGGTTGAACAATTATCAATTTAGCTCATCTTTCGATGATTGTTGAAGGACTTTAAAAAGGGGTGGTCATTTTATTGTACCATATCGCAGGTGGGCTCTAATAAGGTTGTATACTCTTTTCTTAAAAAATGGACGTCCAATGGAGTCCTCTAAATTGGACGTCTAGCATGCCGACACCATGAAAGCCAACAATCTCCTTCTGGCCTGAACCCTTTAATTTTTATGGCTAATGATGGGCCCAATTATAATGCTCCCCATTGGACGTCTAGTGTGCCCACGCTATGAAGCCCAACAATCTCCTTCTGGCCTGAACCCTACAGTTTTGATGGCTAATGACTGGCCCAATTATAATGCTCATATCATATATTTATCATAGATGAAGGAATTTAAGGTTCCACCACAAAACCAATTAGCAATGGGGGACTAGCCCAACTCCTTATAAGCTCTTGCAAAGTTTCTCAACTTTCCAATGTGGGACATTTTTTCACATTCTCACATGATCATATATTTATCATAGATGAAGGAATTTAAGGTTCCACCACAAAACCAATTAGCAATGGGGGACTAGCCCAACTCCTTATGCAAAGTTTCTCAACTTTCCAATGTGGGACATTTTTTCACATTCTCACATATCCCAACACGTGTGGCAAAATTTCAAGCCTAATATGTGGACAACACATATTAGGTGATGTGGAGCATGGGGAGCATGTGTAGCTGTTGACTTCACATGTGGGCAAACCCGTTCTAATACTATGAAGGAAGTTGAGGTTTCACCCCAAAACCAATTGGCAATGGAGGGAGTAGCCCAACTCCTTATAAGCCCTTGAAAAGTTTCTCAACTTTCCAATGTGGGACATTTCTTCACTATAGGGACATTAATCTTCTTCAACCAAGTTGTTTGAGAATGATGCATTAAGCCTATATTTTAGTAGTGTTTAGCTCTAGAGTGATGTAAGCAGAGGATGAATTACCATTTCGGTTATAATATTCTTCCCAAACACCAAAGCATCCCCTGAAGTAGGGCGAAGAAGGCCGACAAGCATCGATATCGTTGTGCTTTTACCAGCTCCATTGTGTCCTTTAAATTAATAAAATTTGAACTCAGTACAAAACAATGATGGATCAAGGACAATAAAAGAATGTTATTCTCTATTTTGTCTTTTCATTTTCTATTCAATGCAACTTTGAGTTTCTCATCAGAAAAAAAAAAAAAAAAAAAAAAGTAACACACCTAGAAGTGCAAGAATCTGATTTTCATACATGGTGAGCTGTAATGAGTTAACAGCACAACATTTCCCTTTTTTACTGCCATATACCTTGTGCAGATTTCTTATCTTGATGCACCTACAAGTCAACTGAATCATGAAGGCAAGAAAAAATCAATTTGTACAAATGAAATACTCAAGGATTCAAGTTTTAGCACACATACCTATGGTCAAGCTCTTGTTGTTTCATATCAAATGTTATCGCTTCAACAGCCGCTTTAACATTATCTTTCCCAGAAAAGCTTGCCTTCTTGGAAACACTGTCATGGCTATTAACTTCTACACCGGAATTGTGATTGAGATGTTTGTTAATACTTGGATTTTTCCAAAAGCGCTTGTGGAAAATGAAGTTCCATGGATATCTAACTCCATTCTCCCTGGGAAGGACCTGATCACATAAGAAAAGCCACACTTAGGCACAAACACACTTAAACATGGAATATTGGCATGTTGTCAGGTCTATCTGTTGGCATAATTAGGAACTCTGGTAAAAAGATAAGATTCTGAAAGATATACCTTGTCCAGATACAGACCAATTAAACAGTAGAGCAACGCATCGAGCAACATCATCAATAGACAGACCAAAAAATTCACGCCAGATGATGCCTACAAAGATAATAGTACTCAAAATTAAAACAATGATACAGGCTAAAATACTTTTGACAGGAAAAGAACCAAATACAGAACATACGCGCCATATGTTGCTCCAACGAAGGCCAACATGAGCACGCTCATAATCAGCAAAGTTAATTGATCCTAAAGCAAAGGCCGTTGGTGAAAGCAAAGACGCAACTACTTTTAATGTCCTGAAAGAGAAAATGTGAATGAAACCCATCTGCACTACAGAATTTTCAACATTGTACTCATTAAGAAGAGAGAGAGAGAGAGAGAGAGAGAGAGATCCACCACAGATATGCACAAAGCTCAGTACTTACATAGGCACACCCTCATCATTGACAGAGTAGTAAGGAAAAAAAGCACCAAGAAAAGTAAGGGTCCCAACAGCAACAGCTGTCTTCGCTCTTGTGAAGAATGTAGAGATTAAAAATGACAGCATAATTGCACTTAGTCCAAAGAAGAAGAAGTAAATGAACACCACTGTCTTATCACTGTACTTGAAAAGATTATCCATAGTGCAAACCGTAATAATTGCAGAAGAAACTGCAAACTGCAGAAGAAATCAAACTATCAGGAAAAAAAAAAAAACCCACAGAAAATTGTTAGGTATGACAAGCACTGAAAAGTCCAACGTTATATTTTCTACTCTTATTCAAATAGAACCTGATCTAGATTACCACCAACGCAACATAACCTATCAACAGACCATCTTATGCAGTTTCACACTCCTTCAAACCAAATGGACTCAAATTTCAGAAAAATGAATTAAACATAGCCTCTCCATCTTCTTTTCTAGTGTACCTAATTATATTCATGATCTAACCTGACCCACAATACCTATGGTACATTAATACTACGTTGCTTTATCAATCAGTGGAGACACTTCCTTTCTTGCAAGTTGATCAATGCTGAGACTCAATCATTGTTCAACAGTGCAAATACTAGAGCCATGCAACAATAGTTAGACTTCTATCCTACAAAGCCAAAGAACTGAAAGTTTGAAATTAGATTAATATTTCAAAAATCTTCCAAAAAAACAAGAGCATGCAATGGTGGCAATAATTATTTAAATAATAAATTTATAATATAAAAAATGGGGTTAAATTGATTGAATTCTTGCTGAGACTTCTTTATAAATTAAACAAAAATACAAAAAAACAAAGAACCAACCTGCAAAGCATATGCAATAAACCATGAGAGATGGAATATCCCATCTTCCAGCCCCATCATATAAAGACCTTCTCTTATCTTCTGTTCCTGAAACATTATGAATAAAAAAACAAGTTGCAGTCAGGAACATAAAGGATGACAAACAAATTACTCTCGTCCATAACATTAACCAAGAAAAAAAAAACTGAGAGAGAAATAAACAGAAACCATGATGTGAATAAGGTAAATCTTGAGCTTTATTTCAAGTAAAATATAATAACAGCTACCAAACCTTCTCAAACACAGAATAGCTGATCAACCGAGAAATTGGGTAGAGAAATCCCAAAAGATACCTGCAAGTTCCAGAACAACCAAACAGAAAATGTCAGTATATTGATGCTAAGAAATATTGATTGTGATCTGATGATTATATAATGAACAATACAGAAATCCAAAAGAAAAAGAAAAAAACAGATATAAAAAATTCAAGAGATACATACAATACACCCATGACACTTTTTATGATGGACTGGAACTCATCATCAGTGTATTCACGAGTTGGAAATGGGACTATTCGAATGTTTGACGGACCATAACTCGTCCATGGCACTTTAAGAGAGGAAGGTTCGCCAGAGGGCAAAGATGAAGGAAGTTCTATATTTTTGGTGTCAGATTGCTGGGCCGCAAAAATTATAAAGGAATCCAAAACTTGCTGGAGCTGCAATAGTATAAAGGCATAAGAAGAATGGACACACGTTTTCACAAATATACACGCAGTTTCACCCACAATTTTATTGAAGATAAGGCGCTTATCAAGGCAGAATCAGAAAATATTTTGTGAAACAAAAACTAAATAGTGACAATATTTAACAAGGATGAAAGTTAGAAGTTGCACTATTGTTAAATAACAATCATTAAACTTATTGCAGGTTTATAAATGGATATCATATTAACCATCAAGTTTCAGAATCATTGAAGATTGGTCTATAAGTGGATATCGTATTAACATTTGAATCATTCACCATTATAACAAATTTATGAGTCACACTATGAAACACTGAGAGAGTGTCTGAGAAGAGACAAGCAACAACAATATCAGACGCTAGTATTGGTATAATAAACCATATCCGACCAACATGAGTAAGCCCTATGTTTGGGAAAAAAATATCATACTTCGCAGCAAACTTTGAATATGACACAAACTACACTTCGCTCAACATTATGATTCTTTTGGAACAACATGGAGAAAGACTGCAATTTACTGCACTGTAAAAAATATACCACGTACTATCAATTTATATGTTACTAGAGACAGCATGTGCTATTATTTCGATTGTGGGATTTACATACCAAAATTTTAAAAATCAATATTCTTAAAAGGGATATTGTTTTTCCCACAGCATATAGATGAATGAGTTAAGGAAGAAGCCAGGAAAAAAGACTGTCTACGTCTGTGCCACTAATCAGTTGGATTTTCACCTTAACATTCAGATTCAGAAAACCATCACTAACGATCTACTTAAATGAATGTTAAAAAAAGATTATTAAATTACTTTTAACTAGACCCTGAATTGCATAAAAAGAACTAATAACCCAAACCCAGCTTTTTGTATAGACAAATTTTGGGAACACAACTGGAGAACAAAATGTTTTTTAGAAAATATAAATATAGTTATGACAAAGCTCCATACATCAACTAAAAGGAACAAATGAAAGTAAGATATCAAAAATCAATAAGTGGCGAAGGTACGAAGCAAACATACAGTTAAGAAACCGCTGAAGCTGTATTGCATTGTCGGTACCGTATTTATGCCCAGTTCCAAGTCATTAAGGTAGGGACCATTTGTGTCCATGATGGATTTAACGTTAGGAAATCCTGAGAAAGCCCATGTGTGATTGAGACGTATGCTATAATCAAAAGATTGGGGACCTTGGTCATGAAATACTACTGCTCCTTTGATTTTTGGATTCGAGCAATTCCTAAACAAATAGTGCAGTTTATTCAGTGACACAGCTAAATTTAATAATGTGACTTCTCATAGAATCAAACAGACTTGCGTTGTTCAAAAAATAGCCATCCAGTGATCACACAATGACCATCACATAAGAAATACAGTATAGTAAGAGTTTTAAACTATAAGCATAAGTCAGATGACTACTTTAAAAAAAATAAATTAAATCATTATAGAATAAAAAATAAAAAATAAAAAATAAAAGCAAAACACATTTAGTAAGAGTTTTAAACTATAAGCATAAGTCAGATGACTACTTTAAAAAAAATAAATTAAATCATTATAGAATAAAAAATAAAAGCAAAACACATTTTAATTTGTAAAGTAATTAGAGTATGCAGATATTAGAACATACCATAACCAATGTAATATCTCCAGCACAGTTATCCACAATATGATAAACATTTAATTGGTGCAGGTATGATAGTTGGCTCCTTTTTTTTTTCAAAAATCATCACATTCAATTCATGAAGACATGTGGATCATACAGATAATTTCAGGAAGCCAAAGCTACATTTAAAAAGATGAATATAATGCACTGAATCAATTCTTATTCACATGAATAGCTACAGTCATGTAGTCCAAGAGATCACTAATCTGCAAGATATTAGGCAGGAAACGTTTGACCAGCACAAGAAAACCATCAAAAGAAAGAGTTTTGGCAATTTGCATTTCTTCACTAGTCTTTCATACTTCTCCAGTCCCAACTATAATCGAAATTCATTTCAAGGAAATTTCGCTCAGATCCATACTGTGATACAAAAGTACGACTTACATTATTTGATTGCAGGTACCATAGAGATCTGAGCCTATATAGGTTTCCAGCTCCTGTTCATCTTTGTAAACTCTAGATACATTCTGTAAGTATGAAATGCACTTTATTTAGCTTGAGCCATGAAAACCCTTGTGAAGGAAATGAAAGGACACATTGTGAAACCCGTTATTTCATTTTGTAATTTATACAAGCAAATTCCAACTAACAAAGCCATGCTTAAATGTGATGAAGAGAACCATATGGGAATAAAAAGATCAGAACTTTGCACCTAAAACATCCAGTTAAAAAGAAGGGGCAGAAAATAAGATTTTTCTAATCAATAAAAAGCAACAAATTCTATGCCTAATAATTAATGACCATTGAGTCAATCATCTGAAACTACTAATAAGAACATATACTACACTTGATCTTAACCAAAAGGCCGAGAAAGTGCGATAAAGCCAAGAACTTAACCCTAAATTTTTCTATTAGGAAAAAGACAAAAAAAAAAAAAGTGCCTAATTGACCATGTCTCACTCACAATAGTGCACTAATGAATTAGCCCAAAAATCATACTCTAAGGATGAAGCCTCGCTATGCAAATGGACACCATTTAAGAAAATCAAAGCAGGATGATAACGTTAACAAAACATCTGCTTTTTCAATAGTTTGCTAGAATGAAGACAGTACAAGACTTGATATCTAATTGAGGGTAACTAGAGTCCCACACCAATATCATCCATTATGTAGGGACGTTAACAAATCTCATATGTGACAAAGACTTCAATAGTTTCAAAAATAAATTGCAAAATAGAGAAGAGGTGTCAAAGCTCAGATGTGCTAAAGAAAAAGAATGCGCCTAGCATGTGCATGAACACACAACTATATACCAAAAGTAACCAAATCAGGCAATAGATAAGAATGGGTACCTTCAGGAGGGGAAATTTAACCGATATTATGTTAATCATTGACCTTGTTTCTTCAGTGTCTGGTGCAAAAGCCAGAAACTCTTCCTTATTCAACAGTAATTCCAAAACTTGTTCAAAGTTAGGTGATATTCCTTTGCCCACTTCCACAAACATCCCTTTCCGGATATACCTGGTCAAGTCTCATTAAACTTAGCACCAATACTTCTCACAAAATGAGAAATTCCGCACACAAAAACCTTGCCGAAATCCATGTAGGGTTTTAATATCATTTGTTTCCTTATTTCCTTCAAATGTATTAAGTATTGGGAGAATATTGCCCAAAGTGAAACATCCTTAAAATATGTAGTACCAAATCAAGTAACAAGCACATAACCGCATGCAACACACATACCCTGCCATGCACACACACACACACTATATAAAAAACATAAATGAAACACAAAAATTAGCCAGACTTTGTCGCCACTTACGGCTGCGATGGGTGAATCTGTGTATCGACACGCATCCTTATAGCTATTAACAACAACATTACTACTGTGGGGAGTAATATCTGCAAGAAAATCATAAAGAAGTTTCAGATTGGTTTCATCAACTTTTTCTTCACAAAAGTGAAGAAAAATAAATAAATAAGAAAATTATTTTAATTTGAAACATTATGAATAACACCTAACGAGAAACTGCCACTTTAAAACCAAAATCCAAAAGGAAGACAATAAGTTTTCATTGTTTACTTTTACAATTAAAATGAAGGCAGCGTAGAAGAACAAAGGAAGCAAACAACAACGACAACGAAGCAACTTGCTACAATAACAAAGAAAACGACAACAGCTGCAGCAGCAGCACCATAGCTTGATCCCAACTTTTCATTAAAGTCACATGCTATAATACAATCCTAATTACCCATACCCTTGTTATTATTGTCTTCCTATTCCCCTAGCACTACTATCTCCGCTCATTAAGTCACTCTTCTAAATGGTGCACGTATTGATCTTTGTTGAACACATACAAACCAAACATAGTTGGTGTTTTCTCATTTTATCTCAATATGTGCTAATTCAACTTGTCTTCCCACCGTATCAACATCCTCATAACTGTCCAGCATTCTGTTCCATGTCTAATAGTTCTTCTATAAACTTTACCTTCCCATTCCAAAAGGTATACGATGATCATGCATACTCCTCCATTTCACCCATCTTGAGGTGATTCTATGAATCACATCATCTTGAATTTTTCAACCCGCAAGATTGAGCTAGACAGCAAAAAATTTAACTCTATAAAATCTCTTGAACCTTGATTTTCACCACCTCCCTACTCTTCTTTTTCTATAGTGACATTAATCCGGTATACTTATTTTAAAGTCCTTAGATAACTATACAGCTTTTTCTCCATAACTCTCATTTAGCAATTATCCTAAAATAGAAAGATTATACAAAGGAGCAATTCAAAGCAAATCGCTGCTGATCATCTAACTAGTCTTATCCCTCTTGGTTGTTTGTTTTTGGCCTTTGGCCCCTGTTTACCAAAACAAAAGAAACAAAAACAAAGTGCTGCTCAAAATAGCAGTCTCGGCAGCATGATGATCATCTTAAGTCTAAAATTTACAAATTCCACACCGAATTACACAGTAGACTCAAAAACAAACGACAAAAACTCTGAATTTATGATGATCGCTTAAAAGAATGAAAAATAAAATCAAGACCGGAAGTCGATACAAACAAATTATGACTAGAAAAAAAACTATAATGAAGCCAAATTTGAAGAAATGAGGAGAAGAAGGAAACCTCAGCGCAGGTGACGAAAGGGTGACGAACTTTGAGAAGCCAATTCTTCCAAAGCATAATCTTCAACTGTCTCCGTCCGGTCCCCATGTCTGCTCCAAACTCTATCTTCCAGGCTTCCACGCAGCGATTGAACAGTTGCGCTTTTCCTTCTCGTTCTTCACTTTTTCTCTCTGCGCTTGAGAATTGAGATAGAATGATGTGGAGGAGGGCGCTGACTACGAGGGAGGTGGAGGTGGCAACTGGGAAATGCTTTTGTTAAAGTCCAACTGAGACATCTGTTGGGAGCTTTGGATTTGGCAGCAGCTTCAGGAAAGAGAGAGAGAGAGAGAGAGAGAGAGAGAGAGCTGTAGCACCAAAACAAGGAAATTTTTGTTCTTTTTCTTTTCTTTTTATTTTAAAAGAATGGAATAAAGTGAAGTTGGTAAATGGAGGCGCTTTCCGGTCAGTTTTTCGTTGAGACTGGAGAGAGAGTGTGATGTATTTCACGCGAGATAAGAGATGTTGAATGGGCGATGAGGTCTTAGTTTGGACAAATACTTACCTGTCGTTGTGGGTTGTTTGGCGTCGGCTTCGGGTCATATTGAGGTATTAAACGGGTCAAAAATCTCTAATTCGAATACAACTTATTTATTAAATGAGTTGAGTTGAATTGTTATTGAAGTTAAACATAATAATTTGTTCAACCCGCTTAAATTATTCTAACAAACTCATTAAGCGATTAAATATTCATATAAGCCAATAACTCATATGATAATATGTTATACAAAAAGACAAATTTAATGTTAAAAATATGTAAGTCATTTGACTTACAAAAATTGAAAAATTGATAGAGGTCCAAAAATCCAACCAATAGTTGAGCCTAGTTCTCGAATTATTGTTTGTTGATACAAGTCATTTGACTAGTTTGTCACGGAGATTAAATTCCATTTTTGACATGTTGATTCAAACTTTTGTATTTAAATTTTTTCTTCCTATTATATGTATTGTCTAAAATGAGAATTTATATGTCATTAATGATTAGATTTGATCATGTACAATTAAAGGAATAATTACATTTTGAATGTAAATATCGAACCTTCATTTTTTTTTCCCTTGACTCAAATTCCTATTTAATGTGGATTTTATTATTGCACATACTTTTAGGATTATTTATTCTTTTGGAGATACAATTTCTCCTTGAATTTAGCTTATTAACCAGATGCACGTTTTTCTTTCTTGTTCTTCATCTCTATCTTCTTCTTTCTCCATCTTCTTCTTTTCTTCATTTATATATATCCTATGGTAAAGAATGTTGATCTTGTACGGTCATTTGACAATCTGTACATTGCCACATATAATTCTAAAGCCTCCTCATGCTGATGATTTTGAATGTGACCCAAGATCATGACATTCCATATTACAAGATTCCTTTCCCCTTTCGTTTTCTTTGAAAAGTTGTAGGTAATTATTTTTATTTTTGTTCACCCTATGGTAGAGGTATAGTATATACTCTTGTAGACAAATTATCATGTGGTGTAGGTATATTGTCATATTGCCTATTGCATAGGTATATATGTGTTTTTTCATATTTTAGACAATAAATAATAGTATTTTATGTACATTTTTTTTTATAGGTAACATACAATTTTATTTGTCTATTTTTGTATCTGGCCTATAGGTTCTAATTTATGTTCCTAACTTATAGGTAGTATTCTAATTTATGTTCATGACTTATAGGTAACACGATTTATCACTAAGTTTTTTTCGTTGCTAATAAGAACACTATTTACCTGTATGTTAGGTACATAATTTATTGTGGGTGCTTGCCTAATTGATTAGTATAATATGTGGGCCTTTACTTTCATTGATTAATTTGTATTTTACCCATAAATTAGGTAAATATTATCAATGAAAGAATTCCAAATTTAAATTCTGAAATTTAATTACAAGTAAATAATTCATTAATTTTAGATTTTCAATGTTTTCCTTATTTACCTCAAAGGGTAAAATCGACACAATAAAAAGAATAATAAAAGTCAAAGGACCTACATCTAAAACCAAAAATACGTGGACTATACCCAATAGCAGCTAATCGTTTTGGACCTAAATCTACGAACCCCAATTTTTTAATGGTGTTTAGCGGGTTGACCTGAATTTAACTTGCATTCTGATCGGGTTATGTTGATAATTGCCACCTCTACTTCATGTCATTGTATCCCTCTTCCTATCTATCTCCTTCTGTTTTATGTCGTGTAAAAAGAGAGATAAGAGAACAGTGACAATGACACCAAGACTGGGAATTTCCTCTTGTTATTTTTGGGTATGAACCAACTATGTCCATTCATGTGTCATATTGATAATTGCCACCTCTACTTCATGCCATTACATCCCTCTTCCAATCTATCTCCGTATGTTACATTTCATGTAAAAGAGAGAGATAGGAAAACAGTGACAATGACACCGAGATTGGGAAGTTCCTCTTGTTAGTTTGGGTATGGACCAACTATGTCCATTCATGTGTTAGAGAAGAAAAATATTGGCCCTTTCAACCTAACTTATTTATTTTATAAAACAACAGATACGTACATATGACTTCTTAATTATTCTTTTTTATATAATAGAATGAAAATTTGGTCTATTAAGTTTAAATCTCATGAACAATAGTTATTATATGCGCTATATGTCAATGTCTCAGTCTCACTAGGGCCCGGGAAGGAATTGACCATTCACATATCTACATGGTTGCACATGATTGGATCATAATCTTAAAAACTTTGCTTCAACGTTCCATCACTAATCAAGACGTAACTTTCAGAGTAAAGCATTTCACCTGCTTTGCCTTTCAGATTGTTACCTATTCGTCACTCCAAAGGAACTTAATTAGGTATGGTTTTTAATTTTATTTTTCAAAAGATGTAGTTACTAATTGTGCTTAATATCATAAATTAGTTTAAACCTAACTTTTCGTAGCCGGCATGTGTTTTGTTTGATGTAGCATTGATGTCATAAATTATATTTCATTTTCATAAAATGTCCAAATTTATCAATTCATGAAAAGGTTTAGGCTTTTTTTTTTTTGTTCGAAAGTGATTTGCATTAGAAAAAGGCAAAAGCCTACTACCATGGCAAATAAAAAAGAAAAACTTCATAGAAGGGGAGGAGGCTCCTCCCCTTTTCTCTCCTTTACCCTTTTTTTTTTTTGGGTTAGTGAATAAGTCCATTGTGGCGTTTTGAATAAGAAGTCTTTTGTGGTGATTTCTTCTGAGTCATGCTCATATTGAAGTTCCTCATTACCCCTTTTAGGGGCTTGTTTAGAGATGTGGAAATTAAATGGTGGATGATTGTTCAAGACTCAATTGATATGATAAGGAAAATAAAAAAAGTATTTAAAAGGATCATGGCCAGGAAAAAAAATTCTGAAAAGATGGTATGCACAATTCAAGGGTAGTTTTTCCTCTCTTTGTTTTCAAACGGTAAGAAGATTGCATTCATAAATTATGCCACAAGGGCAATACAAATACAATAGCCACAAGGGTCACTACAACTACCCATAAAGGAGTTACAAGTTATAACCACAGTATTAAATATTGATATTATCGGCGATATTTCGTTGATAATATCATTTTTTTGAATGGGCGATATTTTAGCCCATATCCACTTAAATATCGTCAATATATCGATATTTTTGTCGATATTGTCGAAGGCGATAATTTCCAACTTCTTCATGCTTTATTTGGGCAATATATCGCGATATTATCGATAATATCGATAATATCCCGATATGAAACTGAAAAATAAATGAAATTGTTGAGAAAAGGCACTTTTGCCAACAAGGTGATTCGAACCCCTCTCTCTCCCATCAACACGCTGCGACTGAGTTTGTTAATAAAGCTACGACGTGTAATATTTGTATGATCTTAAAAATTTCTGCAAGCTAATATTATCAAGGATAAATTTCCATTAAAAAAAAAATCCCTAATGATAAATTTAGGCATATGTTTAAAGTTATTTATTATTTTATTATGGAGTTGTATATATATATTTTTTGGTTATATATTATGGAGTTGTATTATTATTCACTATTGAGTTTTAATATTGTTCATTATATCTATATATATAAAGCAAAAGGCATAGAATTGTGAAACATTCAAAATACCAGAAAATGCCCTTGGTTAATGCAAACATTAAGAATTGATATTATTAATTAAATGAGGATAATATGGTAAATTCATACTTTTTCATATTTAAAAAAATTAAAATTAAAAGAAAATCAAATAATGGATCCTATTTTTATGGAACACAACTACCCATTATCTTTTTAAATTCTAAAATAAATTTAAATTTTTAAAAAAAAAAGCCTCTCGCAGGCGCGAAAGCGCGTGAAGAGAGGCTAGTGTGATACTAAGTTTTAACTTTAATAGGAATTTTTTCTATGTGGTACTAAGTTACTCATATATTTTATTTTTGTTTTTCTGTCAAGCTCATATATCTTATCATATGTAATATATTGTAGTAAAGTATTACTAGCCTCTCCGCACACGCTTCCGCGCATGCGAGAGGCTTTTTTTAAAAAAATTTAAATTTATTTTAGAATTAAAAAAGATAATGGATAGTTGTGTTCCATAAAAATAGGATTCATTATCTGATTTTTCTTTTAATTTTTATTTTTTAAATATGAAAAAGTGTGAATTTACCATATTATCCCCATTTAATTAATAATTTCAATTCTTAATGTTTGCATTAACAAGGGCATTTTCTGGTATTTTGAATGTTTCACCATTCTCTGCCTTTTGCTTTATATAGATAGATAACTAAAAAATTATGGTGTGTTTAATTTTCTTTCACTAATTACTACATATTTTCTAAAGACACAATGTTTGTCAGGTCGCTACATAATCAACTTAAATCACTCAAACCCACCATGTCATGCATTTTATTCCAATTTTTTGTGATAAAATAATAGATAATTGACTAAATGAACATCCTCTAAAGTTTCAATAAAAATTCCAATGAAGTTTCTTTCTATTTCCCATTAATAATAAAGAGGAAGAATTCAAAGTCGAAACATCTTTCAACATTTGAAAAGAAAAATACAAATTACTTTGTCTGAAGTTTCGATGTCAAACTAAATGCTTGCATAAACTAGAGCTACAAGTTTTCACTAAGTGCCCATTTGGCATTGCTTATTTGGGGTGATAAGTGATTTAAAAAAAAAATTGGGAAGCCTAACTTGTTTGGTAAACTATGAGAAAATCACTTATTGTTAAAAATTGATGTGAGAGAAAGTTATAAGGGAAAACACTAATAAGGTGCTTTCATTTTCAGATTATGAGGGAACATATTGAATTTAACTTAAAACATTAATTTAGAGCA